ACTGACAGTTGACAGCTGAAATTTTGTGACAAATAATGCAGCAGTCGCTAGACGATTCGCGTCCCGATTTGAAGTTCAGGTGTTTGTTCCAAGAAGTTGGCCTCTCCCGATAAGATAAGACAACCTTTGGCTACGGCCCAAAGGGACCGGAGACGGGATGGCAGTGGCTTGCAACGTAATCAATAAAAGAAACCAGTTTTTCGTTCAACATGCGAACAGTTTGTATGTATTTTATGTATTCGCATTGCTAAAAATTTCAATATAGGGATTTTTTTTCTTGCAGCCCGCTTTTATTTATTTATTTATTTTTGTTTTTTACTTCGTACATAAAGCAAGTGGTTTGGCAACCCTTTGTGGCACACAAACACACTCGCAATTGTCCCTCAAACACACTTATATACATATAAATTTAATGCATGCAACTTTTGGTTGCACTGCGAGCGTGGTGCATGCCATGATTAGGGTGTCTCAATATAAATAAAACATTTAATTCACTGACAAAGAGTCTCACCAACTAACCTAATTTTAATTTTAAATATTTGTAAGTTATTTTTTTTTTTATGGGTAATTTTGTATTGCTCAACGGACTAAAAGAAACTCATTTATTAATATTATTATCTATTTGGAACTAGAGGATTTTTTGCTAAGTTTTTTAATCTGTTAGAACTTATTTTAATTATATATATATTTTAGTTTTATATAAATAAATGATGTATCCTATAATAAAAGAAATCCTATAATATATAATAAAATAAATTATATTAATATTTATATGACATCATTCGGGCATAAATTAAATAAAAAAAAATATTAAAATAAAACACCAACCATTCATATTTTTTTTTAATATTAAGCTAAAAGATATAATATAATATAATAAATGTTTTAAGTACGTCTTGCACAGAGTCACCCTACTGAGAGTTGAATTCTAATTTTAGAACAGCACTAATACAGCTGCACATAGCCGATATATATTGTATAATTATATATATGTATATATTTATATATGTGTGTATATATAATGTATACTTTATATATAACTTCAATGTTTATGCAATTCTGGACGATCTCACTTTGGCTCCAGTTTTTCGCATTTATTTTGGAATTGCTTCTGCTGCTCTGTTCATTGTTATTGTTTATTCCGCTTTGACTGCATTCTATAGTCAGTTCTGTGTGTCTGTTTTTTTTTTTACTGTCCACTGTCCACTGTCCGGATGTCTGCTGCTCCTTAGACCTTGACCACTAACATAGAAACGTTCGCGAACCGGTTCCCAGCACCGTTTGCCAGTGCTTTATATCCGATCGTGAGCTGAATGGAGTATATTGGTTTTGTTGAATGTTATATAGTGAAGTCTTTAATATAATAAAATATATCTTCTGCTTAGATTTTCTTAATACTCATATTACAGATCTTACAAGATCCATAAATTTCATGTAAATTAAATAAAAATACCGACAAACTGTGAATTATTTGAATATACATCTATCTCTATTGACAGAAAACACAAAATAAAATGCGATTGGGATAGATTGACCGAAAACAATAAAAGCCCCCGCATGGAGTAATATATATTGTCAAAGAACTAGCAGACGGATTGAACAACCTCTTTCTCTTTATGACTAGGTTTTTCAAGTTTTCTGACCATACCCAAACCGCGTCTCTTCCACTCTTCCACCAATCGAAGACATTTATTTACTTCTCAGTACTGCTGGGGTATTGGGCAATCAGTTCGACCCGACAATGCAATGCGTGTTCTCGTGAATAGTTGACCGATTCAATCTGTAAAATGTACTTAATTTGATCGTTTAATAGCACCCACGAAACGAGTTTATGGAATCTAGAGCTGAAGTTGCAATAAATGTGCCTTCAACACGATGTGACAATTATTTATATATTATTATTATTATTATTTTTTTTTTTTTTTGTATTTTGTTAAGATTTAATAATTAAAAAATAAATAGTTGGTCGCACGCACTGTGTGTGTATGTGAAGTCGTGCCCGGTAGCAGCTATGGCTTCTGCATTTTAATTGATATCAAATTATATATATTTTTTTAAATAGTTCATAAATATGCGACGCTGACTTGTGTGGGCGTGCATACAAAAGGGTTTTTGAATGTTTTTTTTTTTCTTTTTCCCTTTTTTCTACGTCTTTGAGCTGCCAAAATTAATTAACAAAATGCTTGTAAAAATTGTTCATAATTACAGTTTTCTGGCGGCGTGCACGACTTTTTGGGGAACATCGTGCGTATATATGTATTGTTCGACTGGACGTAAATATCCAATTTTCCTGTTGCCAAAACAAACGAAATTTGCCGCTCAATAAACTGACTTAATAACACCTACAACAACAGCAACAACAGCCGACAAAAGCCAGTCACACAAACAGACACACACAGTTATGCATAAAAGTATGTTTATGCATATGCCATCATGCAACGTATAAATAACATACGAGTTCTTTTCCCCCTGGCGCTGTCTTCCGATGGTCTCTATAACGACTCACCCTTTTAGATGACCCAATTTCCGCAGCACGAGCATCTGCGACTGCGGCTAAGCCCTATAAACGGCGCTGTAGAAAAATAAAAAAATAAATAAAATCATTTAAGGCGTACAAAGAAGATCAAGTAAATGATTATATCGCTACTCTCACAGTGGATATATTAGATTTTATACTCATCTTTTGATAGCTTAAGCAATATTCATTTATTTCAAATGCATGATCATGCGCGGTGAAGTGATGTGACTTCACAATCAGAAATAGAAATAGGTAAATACATTTTTTCTATCACAACATAATGTATAAATTATATAAAATATCATATGTATTTATACTCGTTTGTGAAATGAAAATTGTCTCCCTTGGTATAAGTATATCTCTTTATATACTAAAGGAGAGACTTAAGATGTTGTTTAGAGGTTTTTAGATTCTCACATCGGGTAGCAACAGTATCAATAAGTTGGAAGGTGGAACACTTCCCAACAGGTAAACTTATATGTCATATGTCTTAGTCAATAGATCAGAGGCTGCTTGGGATGGTCGACTCAGTTATATAGTTGATTTTATAGTGAATTTCAGGTAAATTAATCTTCAATTGTTGCTTTCCTTTCTGCTTCACTCGTATCAGTCAGATACAAGACAACATTGATATGATTTTTAAAGGAAAGGCATCTGGAAATCGACGAAAACACATTGGTTCTATGAACAGTTCTTAGATTCCAAAAGCTCGAGCACAACATAATTATTTTTATCCAGATTGCTTGTAAAGTTCAAAAAGTTCAGGACACGCTTTATTAAAACTACAAATTGATTGATTAAGTATATGCGAGTATAAAGATAGAAAATATAAATGTGTTCTACATGATATGGTTCAATCTATAGATGGGTGAGGGAGTTCTGTAATAGTTCAAAGTCATTAGCTGAAGTTCAAAATGAACTAATAATGTGTAACTCACTGCAAGATCGCCCAGAGCAGCATTCAGTTGCTTCACATAGGGCGCAGCAGCATGAGCAGCAGATGCGATGGCCTGAGCGCCCTATAAATACATGAATTAATAATAAAAGAAATCGAAATTGGAGCAACAAATTGGAATTGTTTATTAATTTTGGGAACTTGATAAGTACTTACGCCAACTTCTCCAATTATCGAAGCACCAGAGGACTGTATTGAAGGAAAACAAAAAACAAATCTGTTATAAGATCTCAAGTTGCGCTCATGTGGATGCTTACTGAAACGCTGCTAGACTTGGGCATGGCCTGAATCTGCACACTGAGGCTGGTGATCGTGTTCTGTGTAATGAGTATATATACATATATATATTATAGTTTCAAGTAAAATTGTGAACTCTGTTCTACTTACAGCCAAGTGGCCAAGTGCATTGCCCATGTCACCCATAAGACCGCCAAGAAGATTGTTTTGCTCCGGTTGAACATAATCACGCTGAGCTCGCAAATTGGTCAGAGCATTCTAGAAACGGAAATTTGGGGCGATCATATATCTATGATCGAATTTCAAGACTCTCTGGCAAGTTTATAATGCTCATACTTACAGCTAGATCACCCAATCCATTAGCCATATCACTTAGCATGTTTTGCATAGCTGTCTCAACATGTTCCACTTCAGACTGCGCAGCATCGGTTAACTTCTTCTCCAGTTGATGGATTACTTTCTCGCCAGCTACAGCCACCTTCGAGATATCGCCCATTAGATCACCAAAGGTAATGGTGCCGGCATCGACTTGTTGGGCCACCAAAACGATGGCCAAGAGGGCAACAATTTTGACTTGCATATTGCTTGTTCGACTTTAACTTGTTAACTGTTTTGATTTTAGAGACGAACAGCCTGATTTATATAGCCAACTTATCTATGTAAGTTGAGTCGCAGTAAAATGTAATTACGAGTAGCCCTTCTTAAGCTCAACTAGCTCATAATTCATATACGAAACTGGCGGCGCGCACTGATTGATGTCCGAAGTTCTTATCGCCTTGCGGTGAATGTTGAGCTAAGGGCTTTTCTTAATATTAACTATTTTGATGGCAATAATAGTCAGGTTGTGTAATGTTGTTTGAATTGTGGGTGTATTGCTTTGTAGAGCTATAAGTCAAAAGTTTATACGGAATCAGACTATTTATTGTGTTACATATATAATTTGTAAGATACTCAGCTCTGTAAGAAGCAAAGCTTTTCATATGTGAAATTGAAATATACAGTAGAAGCCGGCTATAGCGACTCAGCTTGTACCGTCTGTACGGTTACTGCGACGAAACTTCTGGTGAACTTAGATGAGTAAACATATATGGTTATAGCGTGGTCTGGGTATAACGATGGTTCCTTATAACCGCATTCTACTGTATTCTAATTCAATTTGTGAGAACAGCATAATTATGAATTCTGATAAGACTTTCTATACTTCTGTCTATATCAGGTCAACAAATAGAACATTGCCCTCAGTTACTCGTTTAACATTGTAAAATGGCTGAATTAGAGAACTAAAAAGCGTTTTTATAGTCGACAGAAATTAAAGCTTTATTTACAATGATGTTATATTGCTGATTACAAACAGTTGGGCAGTTCGCTTACAAAAAGTTACCCACATTGTTGGCAACATTTGAAGCTGCATTGGCAATGTTGTGGGCCACATTGGAAGCAGAATTGGCAATGTTATTGGCAATATTGGAAGCTTCAGAATCCACATTGTTGATGACATTGGAAGCGGAATTGGCAATGTTATTGGCAATGTTGGAAGCGTCGGAATCCACATTGTTGCCAACATTGGATGCAGCGTTGGCAATATTGTTAGCCACATTGGATGCAGCGTTGGCAATATTATTTCCAACATTGGAAGCAGAGTAGGCAACATTACTTCCAACATTGGATGCAGAGTTGGCAATGTTGCTGGCCACATTGGAAGCATCAGAAGCAACATTGCTGGCCACATTGGAAGCATCAGAAGCAACATTGCTGGCCACATTCGATGCAGAGTTGGCAACATTGTTGGCCACATTGGAAGCTGAGTTTTCATCGGAATTGAAGCTGTTGGCGATGTCATGTGCCAGACTGGAAGCATCGGATGCCACGCTGTTGCCAAAATTGGATGCACCATTGGCAATATTGTGAGCCATATTAGATGCATTAGTTGCAATTATGTGACCCAAGTTGCCAGCGTCTTGGCCCACTTCATTGCCGAAATTTGAGGCCGCTTGGCCAATAGAGTTGCCCCAATTGGAGGCTTCCTGGCCCAGTTGACTGCTGCTCACTGCGTTGCCGAGATTGTTTGCTGCTTGGCCCACATTATTACCGAACTGAGAAGCGGCCTGGCCTATGGCATTGCCAAAGGCTGAAGCTTCCTTGCCAATTGCGTTACCGAAATTGCCCTGAAAACGAAAGTAGTTGAGATTTACATCTTCAACGTTCTGTACCTTTGGCATTTAACACATACAAACTCTTGGCCAAGACTGTCAAATATGCTCCTGGCGCTGACATCCTGCAGACCCAACACGGTCATCGACACGGCAAAAATAACGAAGAATTTCATGGTGAAGTTTTCGGTTCAGATATTTTTCTAGTTATATAACTGTTAGTTATGTTATTAGTATGCTATACAATAAAAATTGTAATAGCAACTGAAGATATTTGCATGTTTCAGGTCGTATTTATAGGGAAACGAAAGTCGATAAATTGCGATAAGCTTATCGCTAGACTCTGTCTACGGATTATTATCTAGGGAATTTTCGGTGTGTCAATATTTTTAATGGTGGCCTGGCCATTATCTAGAGCAAGACGTATTGTCTACCCATTGAATTAAAATTCACATTAAAACAATTTTTTTACTTTTTCATAAAATAAACAAAATTATCAGCGCCAATTTTTTAATTCATAATTTTCTACCTTTTAATTAATAATTGTGAAAATTTGTCACATTACTTGATAAGAAATTTGATGGAAGTGTGTTCAGTGACAGAATATTAATTGCCTTTTAAGAGTTATGCAAGTTTGTGCGTCGAAGCTTATCTCAAAATATATTAGTTATAATTGCCTATTCCGGTAATTGGTTTGCCATCATGAATTTGATAGAAAATTTTAAGCTCTAGGGCTTAAAAATTATTTGATTATGATTTATTGTTTGTTCTATATATTTAGGAAATGAGAGGAAATCAATCGTATAAAGTGAAAAAATAGAAAAATACTTTGATATTTAGAACTTTTTCCATATCGAAATCTAATTGAAAAAAATCTAATTTTTATCAATGTGTCCAAACTCCACTTTGCGTACATATAATCAAATTTGTTGTACGTAAATGTTTAAAGATAACTTTGTTGATATATACATCCAAATGGTTTACTTGAATTGAAAAACTTAATCATACACTTAAGTTTAGTTTACAATGGCGTTTGTGATTTGTCGATGAGCATTCCCGCACATTCTTGTGGGGAACTTTTAAAGAACCATAGCACAAAGTAAATCAGTTCTTGTATCAGTTTGTAAAAAATTAGATCACTATTCTAATTCAGGATGATCAGCTGAGTTCATATAGTCATAGTCTTAATTTCATGGGATCCGTCATGGTTATAGAGGATAGAGAATTTTACATCTATGCTTTTCGCTTACGTATACTGACATATACCCAAAATACAAAAACAAAAGAAAAAAAGTCTTTTACTTGACTTCAAAAACATTATTGCAGTAATATTTCGTGACTTGAGGTATATAATTTGTCTATATATATATTTTTATATATCTTTTATTATTATTCCCACAATATTCCAATTACGATGTATGTATATTTAGCCTAAGGATCTTCGCCCTTAAGCGGAAAATCCCTATATAGATTTTTTGTAGATCTATGCTGATTTCTTTTTGGTTTCTTTTTTGTGTCTTCTTTTGGATTCCTATAGTTCTGAAACGTAAAGTTCAGGAAGTATTGTGGGCCTCGCCTTTTAGATTTATTTGGCCGGGATCCCTGTCCTTTTTTTGTTGGTTTATAAATCAAATTGATAAGAACATTTTTAGCTGGTTTGATTGAAAATGATATCGTCTTTTTGGTTGGCATCATATTATTATTTTCGGCCTATTTAAAAGAAAACTAAATCAGATTATTTCGTTAATATATGTATATAAATGCGATTGAAAACTTACAGTGCACTTCGACAATGATTTGAAGTCCTCGATACTCTTTGGGCGTGCATCTAGACTTGAAATCAGCACCGCTAGAAGAAAAATATATATCAGCTTAAACATTCTGTGATCACTGAACAAACGTTTTCACATCAAGTAGGCCATTCTATTACCTAGTTAGCTTAGAAACTGCGTTAAATTTTAATTTGTGATATGTACAGGGAACTTAAATATTTCGTTATGAAATTAAGTTGACGTAACTGTAGCAAATGGATCTTTGTTTTGTTTTTTGTTACTTTACTTTACAGGGTATACAAACCTGAACCCATTGAAAATGGGAAATCAGGGTATAATGGTTTTGTTAAAAGTATGTAACAG